ATAATGAAACAAGCGTTCTTCCAGATTCGAGGATAAGATATTATAATATTATTAATATTATAGATATTATGTGTTATGTAATTTTTATCCTGAGGTGTGCATATGCGCATAGTGATACAGTCGTTCATCTTGCGGGATTGCACTTTAATGACTGCTGTTAGTTAATAAATTGTGTTCTCTTATAGTATCATAATTCATACTCGTTCAAGGAAAACACACACGTTTGATTGAATGGAATCTTTATGATTTCTTTTGTATTAAACCTGACTGTTTTTACGAACGCATAAAACTCGTAGATAGAGATATGTTAAGGTATGATAGGTTATCTTTAGCTCGATATATGAATCATACTCTTCTTTTTTATAGTAAGGATACAGATAACGTGCAAACAATAATTCAAAGAAAACGTGAGAGGGAGAGTCAATCAATGTTATCTTGGGAGGTAGACCAGATCCTTGATAAATAGACACTATAATGCCTTCAGACATGGACTTGAAAATTTTAAATCTCAGTTGGATCGAGAAGAATATAAAAAAGACGCTTTGACATTACAAAGAAATCATCAAAAGGATGATGTGTTTAAGATCGATAAAACATCCTTATTATGCATTTTTTTCTTTGTCAAACATACCGCTAAATTAAGAGTACAATTAAATGATATTTTTCATCAATGAATTCCGTGTCTTTGTCAATAGCCATTATCATGATACCCTGAATCCAACCCAGCCGCGATTTATTTATCCCAAGTAGCGCCATAGACCTAACCACGTCTCATCCCTTTCGTAAATGTGATGTAAAGCCGCATAAAATACTAGTTCACGATGTCTCTCGCGTAGTTTTAACTCTTCAATCATATTTTTATATTTTTCAATGTCTTGAGCATATTCCGAAGCTTGCAATCGGATCTTCCTTTTCAAGTGACGAATTTTTTTCACACGAGATTACCCTGCCATAGTCACAGTTCGTTGTCGTCTGCGTGTCTCCTGTTTCTTTCCAGAATATTATGCCATCGAGGCGAATATTTGAGGACTGTCAACACTTCCATTTGACCGATCAAATCTGTCACATCTTTCCTTGGATTCTTCCAATTGAGATAAGCACTGACAACATCTTCAAAATCATGCCCACACGCACGTATCTTTCTTCCAATCTCGATAAAATGAAACAAATGGGTAAACAAATACAACTGCATGTGTGCCCCCACAGGTGTCGGATACTGACGGATGTCTTCACATGTAAACAGTCAGTGGTCCAATGTTTGTCTCCTGTTTCTTTCGAGAATATTATACCATCGGGGCGAATATTTGACAACTGTCAACGCTTCCAAGTGTCCGACCAAATCAGTGACATCTTTCATCGGATTCATCCAATTGAGATAGGCACTGATGACATCTTCGAAATTGTGACCATGTGCACGGATCTTTTTTCCTATCTCAATAAAATGAAACCCGTGTGTAAATAGATACAGCTGCATGTTTACATTTTGGACAAAACATCATTAAAAATTTTGAGCGATGCTTAGGCACTTCAGACGTATAACGTGTTTTCCCGTCTAACGAATAATAGATGAATTGATAATTCGGAGGAGAAAGAGACGGTTGATGGCGCCAATATCGAAAACGATCCATTTTCGAAATGTAAGACACAAACCCAAGTTTATTTTTATTTATAGAAAGCGCGCGTTCATGTGGACCTTATGTTCTATGTTGACCTCAACTGACAAATGCGCGCTTTTCGACAGGACAAAAATGTAGAGACATATATGCCCCAACAGACAGCTGTCACATCTCTCCCACAGAGATGGTTCTATCCACACAGGGACAAAAAACTTCCCCGCTCAAACTCTATTTGGGTTCTATTATCGCCACGCCGGAGGAAAAACCAACTTTTAAGCGCGTGACACTAGGTATTGTGTGACATTCATATACAATTTACATTCTTTACATTTTTCGAATTCTTGGCATATTTGGTCATAGTCAGATGTGCTTCTATAAGATCGGTTGGGAATCTTGTCTTTACGGCTCCAGACTTCACTCAGGTAATTAAAAAACCAGTATAGGTCATGATACTATTCCACATGAGCAATCATACGATGTCTCACTTCTTCGCACACATAATACCCATTTTCTCGACCCAGAATATTGTGAAGACTCGAGCACAACCTCTCTTCTTTGTCTTATCAATATCAAATTTATAGGCTGGATGAGGACATAGACGTCTTCGGTACGTGATTTCCATTTCGTGAGATCCATCGTCAGTCATCGTTCAAATCAAAATGGAAAACGACTGCAAAAATCCACACTACAAATACACAAGTTTTTTTGAAGTATCAATCACTATTGTCTACATGAACTTTCGTCTCTTCTCTTTCTCTCATCAAAGTGACAAACTCTACAAACACTTCAATCACACGATTCCTTTTTTCCACCAAGACAGGATACTCATTATCTGGAGGTAAGAGATAATATTCCCATCCTCTCAATATTCGATTCATATGATCCACATCTGCATGCTCTTCTACAATATTCAAAATATCTTCTACATGACTCAAAGCCCAGCAAGGATTGTCTCGTAAATCACACATCTTCTCGCTAAAATGATCTCACACGAAAATTTTTGTCTTCATGTATCTTTTTTGCGCGCCTGTGCCTAAAACAATTTCCCACGCGCCTTAAAAAGACAATTGTTCCCGCCTAATTATTCCAATAACCCTAACCGCATGCACACAAGACTGTTTTCTTCATCTGTGACACTTCATCACTTTCAACCGACTGGTCAGTTCCCGCCTAAAAATACTTATCACATGCACACAGGACTTTTTATCTTCATATGTTACTATTGTTTGCGTGACATACCCAAAAAAATTTGTTAGAGCCTCGATTTCAACCGACTAGTCAGTTCCCGCCTGAAAATACTTACCACATGCACACAGGACTATTTTTCTTCATGTGTGACCATTGTTTGCGTGACATCCAAAAATATCTTACAGCCTCACTTTCATGGTGGTTAGTCAGACGAGCTATACTACTCTTATGCCATCGCGCACCGCCCTCATACGGGGATTTTTGTCAAATATTTTCCAAGAAAAGGGCGTGCAGGGCGGTATGCTTCATATTTTAAAGCATAATTATCACATAACAAGGTTTTTTAGACCTCTTAGATAGACATGACTGCCAAGAACTGATCATAAAATAGGAAAAGTTATCCACAGTGCGCACACTCATTTATTGTTAACATTATCCACTCATGTTGATTTTGGTTTGTTATGCGCAAGCCGTTTGGTGAGTAGGTGTAGAATGAATAACACAGATGAATTTATGGACAAAATTGGATGTTAAACAGGATTTGACAAGTTAAAACTTCAAATGCTAAGTTTTATTTACTTCACTTTGATTTCTTTTGTTTTTTGGTAAAATGATTATATTACGCCCAGGAAGTTTAATCGATGGGAAACTCTTAAATATTTCTGAAATGTCCAAAGCATTTGCCAATTTTCTTACATGTCATGTCTTAAATGTTCTGATATTAATGCATTTAGGGTGGCTGCGTAGAATTTTAGTCTGATTATGACACGCGCGCCGGCGTTATGTTTTTTATTGAGAATTCAATATAATTAAATGTTACCAAAATTTTATAACCAAGGGTCGAACTGTTGTTTAGCTAAATTGCTACAAAGGAAGTTGCTCACTAGCGGTAATTCGGCCCTCCAGTTTGGTAAAGTGAAATCCTCCACAGTTTTCACATTATGAGAAATTTGTCCGGTCAGTCATTTTAAAGTTTGGAGAGAGGATTTTTTTGCAAATTTTTGTTTTCTACAGGATTGGTCCCATTAACTATTTTCATTAACTGGCAATAGGAAGGGCACAAATAGAATAAACGCTCAATCTAATTCTTAGGAATTTCTACCGAAGGAAAGGTAATGAGTTTCATTTGAAAGATCTCCTGCGAGGCCTCATCAAATAACGAGGATAAAAACAATAATACCTTGAAGCCGAGTGAGTCACGCGCGTGAAGAGGAGTGGGAAAGCCAATCAAAAGTCTCAAGCGAGATAACGAGCTTTTAATAACGATCATAATCTAATGTCTTAGTAATAATGACATCAGGGTTTATGGCACGAAAAATAACTCATATGGTGAACGGCCCGATGCTTTCGAGAAGGAAGTTTGAGGGTAATGTTCCTCTTTACTTAGTTGGTTCCACATCTTTCGATGAAAAAAAGGATAACGTTGAGTTCAGTTAGTAGTAGGTTAAATTTGAGACCAGCGGTGAAGAGGATAAGGTCGGGGAGGAGACTACGACTTGGAAGGGAAGGAGTGCCCGGAAAGAATTTTAATTTTCATTCAAGCAGAAATTTGTTCTTTAAAAAAATACTTACTGGAGATCATGATCAAGAGAAACGAGAATTTTCAATTTATACTCCTGAGCAAGAAAACGTGGATACCATTTGATGGGTGATCAATTTCGTCGCATCTGAAACTATGATTATTGTGTGTTATTTATTTTCTGTATTTTAAAAAATTAAAATTTTATGGTTTTGCCCACAGAAACTATTTGCTTGGACAGATGAAAGGAATGCTAATCAATTTAGGAGCCATAGTTTACTATCAGTTTTAAATTTCAATCACATTGTTAGCACCATTGTACTAAAGTACAGAAGGTTGAAGACTAGCTTTATACATTATACCAATGAATTTTCAACCTTTCCCAACGATATAAACAATTGAGCCCTTCTGTGGAAACTTTTTAAAAATTCACAAAAAAGTAGTTGTTGTGCTCGTTAGCACTGATACTGATTCTTGCTTTAAATTTAATGGCATTGTCACCCAAAAAATCGAGCCCTTCCCGTATTTTTGATAAATTATGTGCACATTAAACTGAATCAGTTTCAAGCTAGTGCTTAATAATTTGTTTTTTGCCATTACACTCCTAGCTTAAGCTACATCTACACTTTAAAGGTGCACATATGGCGTGGTTTTAAGGCTGTTCATTGTTTCCCTTGTCACTTCACCAAGATGTAGCCCATGGCTGTAATGTGTTTGTCACCATCATCTGCTTCGTGCTTTGCTTCGTTGCTACACGTGTTGGAGTCATCAGGATACCCTCCGGTACCAAACCCAATTCTGGAGTCACAGCTGTTGCAATCGTTTTCTTGGTTGGCAATGATACCAATTCTTACCATGGAGGACCCATTCTTTTCCAGAGCATTGAACCCTTCCATGTTGCAGTGAGGCTGTAAGGAAGCTTCTGAGCCAATCAGGGTACTCCACGTGCCACGACCGAGTGAGATCTTGCGGTATTGACCGTCAGCGATCAGTGAGTACAGTGAGCTGGCGCGCTTATTGATGACAATGAACTTGAGCTGATAGCCAACCCTCATACCGAGACAGACCTTGGAGAAGGATGTGTTCCAGTAGGTCGGTAACTTGGTCTCTTGTGAGTCAAACCCATTCATGCCCCCTATTAGATTGTATTCAGCTTTGTCTCTCCAGAACGACGAATGATAGTGAAAGGTTTGCTATACATATACATAAAGTGAAAAGTATAAGTATTAAACAATAACAAAGTGGAAAAAAAACACATAAGTGATGGTAGACCAATTGCCATCAAATTTAAAAATTTCAAAAGCTTTTTGAATATCAAATTACTGAAAGTTGCTAAAAATGCCAATAGAAAAAGATCCCGTGATATTTACGACACTTGCATACGCTGTACTCAACTCAATTGCTCGTGGAGAGACAAATGAATCGTACAGGTTTAAATTCCGCAGAAATTCGATTTCAAATTTTTCATATTTTCAGAGGAAAACTGATTTCAATGTTAAATCACCTATCATTTAAATCTCAAAAAACACTGTCATAAAAAAATGGAAATTGCATTTTACTTGTACGAAACAATCTTTTAAAGCGTGAACATGAGAAGGAAAAACCTTATTGCCATTAATCTTCATGATCGGCGTCCATCCTCCATCTCCGCATCCAAAGTCTCCCATGTGACAGAAAACAGAAATTGGCTTTGAGTCTAAGTGCAGGGTAACCTCGCCACTCTTGTTCGATCTACTAAATAAGGAATCTTCTTAAAAGGAGAGATTCAGTCAAAACTTAATGAGGGCCATGGCTTCCATATATTCAGTAAACGACACAGAGTGCTTTTCGATCACCGATTCCTATTCGACAGAAGCTGCTGTGGAAGATTATTACTAATGTTGCGATATGCTTGACGTAAGATTATTTTTAAAAATATTAGTAATAATAGTAGTACTGTTATTTTCATATTCTCTCATTGAATTCCGCTCCGACTTTGTTCTTGTTGGTGAATAATTGACTTACACATTCCGGTCGAAAATTTCCTTACACGTCGAAGCTGAAAGAAAAGGCATATCAACAGTAATAAACTCTAAGAATAAAAGATGGGATGGCGTTTTGAAATACTCTCAAATTAAAGGGAAAATTTACATGTGGAGTAGGAAATACACAACGTTCTTGGTCACTCATGTTTTCGTAACTTGTATTGTTAACGGTGTCTAATGCTCTAGATAGGAATAAAAGTAGCGTAGCCGCGAATTTAGGCAGGATCCCAAACTTTTCGCGGCCTCGTCGTTTTAAACCATAAGACTGCTATCTACGCAGGCAAGCGTTTTCACGTCCATCAAGTAGTTAGCTTGTTTTAGTTTGAATTCTCAGTAGTTTCTAAGGAGGCATTCATCGAAGTTTTTATCGATTTACCATATATCTATATCTCGATATACATAATTATTCTATACGAACGTCTCCTTAAAGTGGTCTAAACAGAAAGAAACAGTACAAAAACTAGCTTAAAAATACAGCAGGAGAAATGTTACCCAAACGGCAGATATTTCCATCTCCATAGTATCCCTGTTTGCATGTACAGTTGTACGTTCCCTTAGTATTGTTGCACACAGCATCAGCACTGCAGTTCGTTTTTCGTGTTGCACACTCGTCGATATCTGAAAAGACTCTCCTTTAATTAGAACGTCAAAGCTGCAATTAATTTTAAAACTAATGCAGATTTAAAACTAATGTGTAATCAACAATAATAATAATAATAATTATAATAATAATTTATTTCTATAGCGCATTTTCCTAACGCCTAAATGCGCTTTACAGTATCAAATTATCATAACCTATAATTAAATAAAAATTTAAAGTCTAAAAATATGCTTGTCGAAAAAGATAGGTTTTAGGCTTAGCTTTAAAAATAGAGACAGATGTGCTGCTTTTAACCTCAAATGGATCCGAGTTCCAGAGGTAAGGCGCGCACACTGACAATGCCCTCAGGCCAGTCAATTTGAGCTTGTGTGTTGGTTGCTCCAGTAGAAGTTAGTCAGCAGACCTGAGAGCTCGCCTAGGGACATAAGGACTGATGAGCTCAGTCAAGTACGTTGGAGCCGCAAGATGGAGTGCGTTGAAGATGTACAGTAAAATCTTAAAAATAATACGCTGACGGACGAGAAGCCAGTTTAGCTCAATAAGTAGTGGTGTGACATGCAAGCTTTTGCAAATGATCACTTTTGCGGCTGCGTTCATAACATATTGTAGTCTCTGAATAAGATAATCAGGTAGGCCATAAAGAAGCGAATTGCAATGATCTAAGCGAGACATTACTAATACATGCACTAGTGTTTTGGTTGAGTCAATACATGGACGATATGCGACTAATGTTCCTGATGTGATAAAAAGTAGTCTTGCATAGATCATTGACGTGTTCCGCAAAACTCATGGTATCGTCGAAGATGGCACCAATGTTCCGTGCGCTAGATGTGGGCTCGACAGTAGCATCACCCACAGTAATCGAATCTAATGGTGGCTTAGGGCGATGTTTAGCATGCAGAACCAGGAGTTCAGTCTTGTCGTTGTTTAACCGGAGGTTATTTAAAAGCATCCATTGGTTCAGCTCACGCAAACAAACTTCAACCCTAGTGCGCGCAGGCACAACATTCTCCATTTTAGTGGTCTTCATGCTAAGGTACAGTTGAGTGTCGTCCACGTACATATGAAACCCGACACCATGGCGACGCAAGATAGCTCCGAGAGGAGAGGTATAGACCAAATATAGGATTGGGCCCAACACAGACCCCTGAGGAAGACCGCAAGTCAGTTGACGATCAGAAGAACTAGTATCTCTGATTTGGACGAACTGTGAACGACTGGACAGGTAAGACCCACACCAAGTGTAGGCAGAGCCCTGAACACCAATGCACTGGGAGAGACGCGATAGTAGGATGCCATGATCCACTGTATCGAACGCTGCCGACAGGTCCAACAGTACCAACATCACACACTTTCTATCATCCAGTGCACGTAGCACATCGTTATGCACTAGCAACAGTGCTGATTCAGTGCTATGGCCCACTTTATAAGCGGATTGGAAGATCTCTTCAAGTTTATTTTCTTGCAGATGGGAAATGAATTCACTCGCGACTACCTTCTCGCAGCACTTGGAGAGAAACATTAGGTTGGAAATCGGTCTGTCATTCTTGTATAGTTAATAGTCAAGTGATGGTTTCTTGAGAGAGGGCCTGACAATGGCTCGTTTCATGTCTGAAGTCAGCGTGGAGTTCTGCTAAGAACAGATCACAACCTTCGTAATAAACGGAAGAAGCAGATCATAGCAGTTTTTGAGGACTGAGGCGGGTATCGGATCTAGCATGCAGGACTTCAAAGTCCATCTAGGAACCAGGTCAGACAGTTCATCACATGATACTGAATTGAAGTGATTACACCCAGGGCCACTGTACAGCAGTTCAACTTGGGCGTGGTTTGTAGTACACCTTTTTTCTCTGCAACTCTTCACGTATTGTGGTGGTCTTTTCAATAAAATAATCAGCAAACGCATTTGCTAGGGACTCATCATCCATTGAATAAGGTGGTTTAGGTTCACTTTTACGATGAAGAAGCTTGTAAAAAATAGAGAATTTAGGTTTAGGTTCTCGTCAATAACCCTCGAATAATAGGCCGTCTTTGCCTGCAAAATAAATTCATTTACCACCTGACACTGGTCAACGAAACGCTCGCGATCGACCGTAAGTCCAGTCTTTCGCCAACATCGTTCCAGTGCCCTTCTTTTTTGTTTCTCCTCACGGATGTCTTCAGTGTACCAAGGTGCTGAAGGGCGAATCGTAATAGTGCGCGTTTTCAGGGGTGCGTGTTTATCGAGCAGGCCAATCAGCGTAGTATTGAAAAGCGTTAGGAGAGACTCCAGATCATGACTGGCTTCATAGACTGTGCTAATTAGAGGTGAATCAGAGATGTCGTCTCTAAACTCTTGGAGATCAATTGACTTCATTTTTCGATAATTGACTTCTTTACGCTCGAACGCTTTTTTAGGTAGTGCCAGAGAACAGCTGTCAACGTAATGTTCAGAAGTGACAGGATCGAAAACATCAAAGTCCCGAGCTGTACTCTCATCATTTCTGGTGATGACTAGATCTAGGGTGTTACCACTCCTTTGGGTGGAAACCCAGACGTGTTGCTTCAAGTTAAAAGCTTCAAGGAGAAACCGTTGTGTAGATCGATCACTAGCGTCATTTACGTGCAAATTGAAGTCACCGACTATCAACAGAGAGCCAGGTACAATAGCTAGAGACTCCAAGAAACTAGGAAATTCTTCAAAGAATTTCGCAGCCGATGAGGTACCGTCTGCCATTGTTTGTGGCTTATAAACAATAGGAAGGCGCAAGCATAACGAGGAATGTTTCAATAGGACATCCGTAAATTCAAAGGATTTTAAATTGGTCACAATGCCGGGATGCTTCTCGAGGCCAACTGCAGTCTTATGCTTGACACCGATTCCGCCACCAAACCCTTGGAACATTGTAGAATTCATAGCCAGTCGGACACAAGTCACGTATAATTAATTCATCAGTTTCTTTGGCAAGCCAAGTCTCAGTTACAGCAAAGACATCGATATTACGGTCCAAGGTCAGATAAAAAATGGAGACCCACGTTGGATCTGATGTCTTGAGAATCTTGCAATTTTCCTGCAGCTCTCTTAGCCATGCAGGAGTAGCATCAACCCATTTGGGTATGGATTATTGAGCGCGATGATAATATAACGGATTTAAAACTTTTACGTGTACATTCAGAATTTGTCCCTCTTTCAAATTCACCATTTTTATAAAGTATATTACTTTTAAAAATACAAAGTTGTCCGCCGCTTTGCTTGACGGCACTATTAAGAAACAATATATATTTACATTTATCAGTATTTAGTTAATTAACATTAGACTCTGAAACAAGACTCTGTTTTACCTTTGCAAGTCCATCCATCTCCAGTAAATCCTGGTTTGCATTTGCAGCGATACGATCCCTCGGTATTGTTGCACATAGCATCAGCACTGCACTTGGATGTTCCGTCAGCGCACTCGTTTATATCTGTAAAATTCATGGCAACCGATTCAATAGGGAAAATCCCTAAACACATGACCAATTTAATCATTTTAAGGGTTGAAATGTGTGTGTTTAGTTTCCATTCCCTTGTTCGTTAAAATAAAATCAGGGCTTTGGTCACGCTTACCTTTGCAACCATCTCTAGAATATCCAGGTTTATTTGGACAGTTATAGGAACCTTTGGTTTTTTTGGAAACAGCATTTTTACCGCAGTCTTGTGTTCCTGTAGCACACTAATCGATATCTCAAAATATTCTTCTTTAATTAGAACGTCATCATTGGAGATGTGAAAATAAGATGTGAAAAACAAATTGAGACCTACGTGGGATACGACGTCATAGTCCTGCAATTTTGAAGCAGCTCTTTAGCAAAGGATTAGTTAAGAGCTTCATGGTTATTGTGTGAGTTTATAAAAAAAAACCGAACCTTAACTTTTACAGGTGCCTTTAGAAGTTGTGTATAAAACTGTAGTGAACACGAGCTTACGACCGGTTTGGCATGACAGGGGTTACCTTTCTTACACCTTGGACCTCTGAATCCAGTGGTACACAAACAGCGATATCCTTTGTTAGTAAAACCGCTTTGACAAGTAGAATTGTTATCGCAAGGGTTATCAACACAAGCGCTCTGAAGCGAAAATAATATCATACATTGGAATATGAATAAAATGGAAAACGAGCAGCATTTAAACCAACAATAATGATAATGCTAAAGATAGAAATATTGACAGTGATATTAGAATTCAAGCAACAATTGCAACGATTACGACCGGAAACTAGTTTTTTCTTTCACTTGAAATGAGTATTTGTTAATGATGCAACACCTACCTCAGCTGCATGATAAAAATAATCGTCTTTCTTCTCCAGTTCGTGTTCGTGTCTTTCGTGAGTAACATTATTCAGTTCACATTTGTAGCCTCCATGACCACTCACTTGTTTATGAACATTAATGCTGACACAGTCAGGTTCCATATAACACATGTTGTCACAAAAACTCATTGTCAGAACTTCAACGATGCGAATGACGTGGTTTATGAGACGTTTACCGTCAAATGCTTTTTCAGGGGTAAACTCCAACACGCGGCATTGGTCTGCGTCACAAAAGCCTTTAAGATTGATAAAAAAAAAACATGAAAGAAGGAAAACACAAGTAAAAGAGATGGCCATAAGGGACGTCAAAATGATGATAACAATTGAGGATTTACTGATAGTTTCTCCGTTGGAATATATTCATTTAAATTCATCCATCCATTTGCTTCCCTTTTTTATCATCTATTTTAGTTTCTAGATGAATACCTTTCTAGACAAATTACAAACAATTATCCGTACTGACATCCGCAGGAAACTTGCAGATGGCAATTAATTTCTACAAAAAATGCACATATTTAAGTAAGAACATTTTCCATTCGAAAATTCCCCAAAAATAAAAAAAAAGTAAATTTTCTCAGTAAAGACAAAGTTCGCCGGTTTGAATTTGTAAAGTGGACTGAATCGTTGAAGAAATCCATGAATGAGCCGGATCAAACGTTTGCAAAGAGCTTGTCATTGCAGAAGATCTTTATT